CTCTCTATATATTTCTTTAATTAGTGGAAAAGGTAATAACGATTTGTTACATGTGCCTGGAACAACTGTTAAAGATATTTGCCTAGAGAAAGAGAACATAGAGTGTTATTCTGGTGCATTAAGAGTAATGCTGAACAGTTTCGATCATGTCCTTGCAGATTAAGCAAGCTTCTGTTAGATCTTTGTTTATTTTTGTCCTAGGTAAAATAAATAAAGCGCCCTTAAGTTATTCAACCCAATAATTTACTTAATAAATGACAAAATGCGGAAAGGAGCAAGAGGAAACTTGTTCCAATCACAGCTGCCAAGTATCCCGGGTAAGCAAATATAGACAGCTCTTAACCAACGCCCATTCATCAATGAACGAAATAACAATTAATGCCATGTGTCCAATTACGTAAGAGCCACATGTGGTCACAAGACTTCAAAGGGTTGGGCGAGACGAAAGAAACACAGGTGAGGAACTGGTAATGAGAATGACAGAGACGGACGAGGGTAGAAGAAAAAGGGGAGATACGTAGGGAGAGAAAGAGAGAGAAAGAGAGACAGAGAATGAAAGAAAAATACGAAAAAACCAACGTAAATACGAGGGATAAAAAGAGACGAACGTCGAAACTTTTCATTTCTGCAGGGCGAGCGACACTCGATGCAGAAAGCAATTGTCGACGATGATGTTAAACGCGCGTTCTGGCCTCGTTCACCGATCGACTCCGTCGTGAGGACGGCGGCAAATATGACAGTTGTGACATACAACTGTCAAATTGACGCGAACGTCGCTCGGAGCGCGCGGGACGACACGAGATTTTAGGTTAGATTGAAGCCCGGCTCGATTTACCTTCATGCTGGACGCTGGATCGGTGATCGGGCCATCGGAGATCGTGCCTCTCGCCTCTTTCCCGGACGACGTGCTGTTCACACCGTCCCCGCTGTCGGCCATTTTTCGAATGCACGGCACGCGCGACATCACCCGAATCGGCCGCCAGGCGGCACTCCGTGCGGCCGCGCGCGGTTCAGGCTCGTAGCTACGTTCACGGTGCCCCGTCCGCGTCTTGTCCTGTGCGTCGCTGCAGTCAATATTTTAGACTACTTTGACTAAATTCGATCTTAAGGATGTATTACATTAATTTTTTTAACGAAAAAATTATGTATAAATGATAGATTTTTCTATATTGTATATGAAAATAATTAGGATAAATGAGAAAAATGTTACTCAAACTGTAAAATTCTTAAATATAAACATTGACTTTTAATGTTAAATATTGACTATATATATAATTTCTAATATAATAATAGTAAATAATGTTATTTTAGAAATTAAATTTTATTAGTGGCAAAAATATTCAAACCAACATATTTTTAATTTTACACTCGGAATTATTTGAGATTTATATTTAGGATTAGACAGATAAGTGCTATAAACAAAATAATAATTCTAATGATTAAAATATATATATTTTAATTATTAGAATAGTGATATAATAGTTCTCCTTCTCTACTTCACGGGGGAGAATGCCCCCTGAAATGCGTCCGGGCTTGACCACTGGCGAACGTACTGTTCAGGCGGAAAACATCGGCGGCCGCCGATGCGTGCCCACCCAGCAAGATGGCTCCTCTACGGGGCGACACTCGGTGTTTGACGTGAAGTTATTTACACACCTGGGATCTCGCGCCGTTCTCGGGGAGACGTGCACAGCCGTGTCGCTGCGTCGATGCGTCGCGGTGCCGCGCGTGCCTAGTGGTAGCGACATTTCGCGGTCGCGGGTGTCGCGCCAACGGTGGAAGTAACGTCACGTCGCAACGTCAAACTCCGTATCGTGCCGTGCTGCGCCGAGTCGGGCCGAGCCGGACGACGTACAATCGCCAGGGAGCGAGGTCGTCCCCAGGATCACGGCGACGACGGCAACCACAACGACGACGAGCGCGACCACGCGCCTATACGGCCGGGTTCCGTTGACGGTGGATCGAGTCAGCGCCCCCCCGAGGAGACAGCCCTTGTGCGCTTCCCCCTTACTACTCAGGTAGTACTCTTACCTCATCTCGTGTCCTCACCTCGTTGTGTTTTATATCCCGCGAAACGCGACAACAACGACGACGACGACGACGGAGACGGCAACGGCGACAGCAGTGGCGAGCGTCTCCTTGCGTCTCCTACCTCGTCGCTTCCCTTCCCCTTCCCGGATAACGTCCTCGGGGGAGAGACGGTAACTCCGTCATCGTCGTCGTCAGTTGTATACAGTGTATATCGATCTGTCGTAAACCTATCATTGAGACACGCTGGAGTAGGCGAAAATCGTTTAGAACTGTGAGATCTCGCGACAAGGGATTCGTTCGTATCCATTTGCACCCTCCTACGCACTCGGCCCGTCTCCCCCTTGCTACCCCGAAGTCGGATTACTGGTACCCATGCGTGGAGATGCGCGACCGACGTGGTGCTTGTCTTCCACCTCCCCCCCTTTCCCTCCGACCCTGGGATCGCGCGCTCCTTCTTTTCACGTGGGACGTAAAAAAGTGTGTAATGCCCATTTCTAACGCAGTTTAATTTAATCTCGATTCAATTAACTCTTTATCTAATTCTAAGAATTAGGGGTTAAAGTTGAACTGATGAAAGAGCTGAGATTAAAGTTAATCTACATTAATAGAAACGGGCACAACGCGATTTAAAGGGAAAGGACCTGCCAGATCGCGCACGGAACTTTCGCACGCTTTCATCAGAGACGTCTTTCTTTAGTTGCGCTTTCCATCAGTTTTTGCTCTCTCCCTCTCTTCCTCTTTTCCGATTGCCGAGGGAGAGAGTCTACTTATCCCGTTTCAGAATGCAGAAAGTGCAACGTGATACACGATGTCCGTTTCTACCAATGTAGATTAACTTTTAACCTCGGTTTAATTTACTCTTTTTTTTTCTATTTCTTCGAGCTGGAGAGAAGTGAAAAAAACGTAAATTAAACCGAGGTTGAAAGGTTTGGTAAAACATGAACGTGGGACGAGCAAAACTGTTAGATTTGTTCGTCCTAATTGCACTCTCTGCACCCCGCTCGTTTTCTCTCTCGCTTCCGCCAGACGTCGAGTGTACGTTCGCTTCGTACTCCAAACCTGCGAGAGTGTGGGAAAAAGTACAAGTAGAACGAGAGCCGGCTAACGCACGCGGACGTATTTCGCAACTACGGAAAAACGGAGTTCCTACTTCGACGAGTAAAGAAGAGCAGAACGTGGTAATCCGCTGTAATCTAAAAGGGAACAGAATATCGAGAATATTTCGCGTGCCGTGCTTGATTCCTCAGAAGTGAAAATCGTGAAGAGTTCCGTCGATCGCGGTTTATTTGTTGCTATCGATTGGGAAAGAATTGACTTGTTCGATGGACATCTGGCTTTCTCACAATTGTACCCATTGTCGATGCCTATTGATGCAATTAGCATGAAACCGAGCTATTGTGAATAGCTCTTTCAGCGTAATGTATGATTCATAGTTGTATTTTAAGAGGTACACGAGGCGGAGCATAAATCTGAGACGGTATACTAAAGTAGTTGTTACAGATTATGAAAGATAATTGATAAGAGAACTCTTTGAATTTACGCACAAATCTGAGATGGTGTGCTAAAATAATTGCTTTGAATTTGAAAAGGTGATTGACAAGTAAACTCTTTAAATTTGTGTACGTAAAACTCAAGATTTTGTACTAAAGTAGTTGTATTATAGATTATAAAAGCTAATTTATAAGGGAACTTTCTAAATGTGTACATAAGTCTGACATGGATCAAAATAATTGCTACGGATTATGAAAAACGATTGACAAGAGAATCTCTAAATTTATATAAACCTGGGATTTTATACTAAAGTAATTGTAGATTAAATAAGAGAGCTTTCTAAATTTGTAATAAAAAAACTTTCTAAAGTTATGATTCTAAACTGTAAATTTACTCAGACGATACTGTACGAGTATAAGTAGTTAATGCGAATTTGAAAAGATGGATTGATAACTCTCTAAATGTATGCGTGGGTCTAAACGGTGTACCAAAGTAGTTGTTAGAGATTATGAAGGATAATTGATAAAGAAACTTTCTAAATTTGTACGTAAATCTGAGACTGTACTAAAATAGCTGCTAGAGATTATGAAAGATGATTGATAAAGGAACTCTCTAAATGTATGCATAGGTCTGAAACGATATATGACTAAAGTAGTTGTTACAGATTATGAAGATACGAAGGATAATTGATACAGTAACTTTCTAAATTTATGTGTAAATCTGAGATTGTGTTTACTACACATTAAATAAAACTGTTAACAAGAGAGATACTAGAATAGTTGCTATAGATTATGAAAGATGATTGATAGAGAAACTCTCTTGTACGTAAATCTGAGATGTCTAAAGTAGTTATAGATTATAAAAAATAATTGAGAACTTTTAAAAATTGTGTATAAATCTGAGACTGTATTAAAATAGTTGCCATAGATTGTAAAGGACAATTGATATGGGAACTCTCTAAATGTATACGTTTTCTCTCATTTTTTTTCAGATACACAGTGCCATTCCAAAGAACCATTGCTCACAGCTGTGCTAAACTATAAACGCTATGCTTAACGATAGATAGTGTTTAAGGGTTTTCAAGCTCTGTGTTATTTATATTTAATAACGTAATACTATTAATCGCGTTTCTCTACCGTAAAAGCTTCACGATAGAGTAGAGATAATCGTACGGATGAGAAATTCGAAGGAAATCAGTCGCGCGTAGATGTTTGTACATAAAGCCCAAGATTCATCTTTGCGAGTAAGCGAATTGTGATTCAAATCGTTTAGAGATGTTACCAAAGGGAGATTGAACCAATTTTCTACGCAAAACTCTAGATTTGAAGGATAGAATATGACCAAAGGTATACAGACAAATCTGTATTGGTAGCAAACTTTTTCGATGGCATTTCGCTATGTCTTGAGGAACACTGTTTAAAAAGAAAGAAAAAGTTTATTTTGACATTTGCTACGAGCGATATCATCACGTGCTAAACATGGCGAGAAAAAGTGACAATGCAAAGAGCATCAACGTCGCGGTGGTCGGGCTTTCCGGCACGGAGAAGGACAAGGGACAGGTCGGCGTCGGCAAGTCGTGTCTGTGTAATCGCTTCATGCGTTCCATGAGCGATGACTACAACGTCGAGCATATTTCGGTGTTGTCGCAGGTATTTGCATCTCCTATACATCTCATTTCGTAATCGATTACGGAGATTTTAAATAGTAGAAATTATTGACACATTACACATTACAAGCATATGAATTTCTGTGAATTAGCTCTGTACAGATTTGCAAAATCCTTTTACATAGTTAAAATACGCAGAAAAAATATACGGACCAATTATGTAAACTTTACAATTCTATATAATCAATTTGGAAAAATTTATACATCTGCAATGTATCAATAATTCCTTTAGTTTAAGAGATCCTTTTCGTGTTTACGTTTCGATGATCAAACATTTTATTGCAGTCTGACTTCAGCGGACGTGTGGTGAACAATGACCACTTCCTGTATTGGGGTGAGGTGATGAAAACGGCGGAGGATGGGACGGAGTTTCAGTTTCAAGTTATAGAGCACACGGAATTTATAGACGATGCGTCGTTTCAGCCGTTCAAAGGCGGCAAAATGGAACCATATGCGAAGAGATGCGCTGCTACGAAGATTACAAGCGCGGAGAAGCTCATGTATATCTGTAAAAATCAGCTGGGCATAGAGAAAGAATACGAACAGAAAGTTCTACCTGACGGTAAATTGAACATTGACGGATTTTTGTGTGTGTTTGATGTGAGTCTCGTGCCGAATAGGGCAATAGAAAAGCAGGTTGAGATTGTGGCGAATATCTTGAACAATTTGATGAAGACGAAAAAGTCGATAGTACTGGTAACGACCAAGAACGACGATGCGAATGAGCAGTTTGTCAAAGAGGCCGAGAAGTTAATAATGCGCAAAGAATACAAGGGATCGATTTTAATCGTCGAAACTTCGGCGCACGAGAACATCAACGTGGATTTGGCGTTTATGATTCTGGCGCAGTTAATCGACAAGACGAAAATGCGCAGTAAAGTGATACCATTCTCGGAGGCAGCCAGAGCTAGGAAGGAACTCTTGGATGCATCGACGGAATCGTTACAGAGATTGATCCGAATACACGTAACCGATTATCGCGCCTTGTGGTCGCAAGCATCGAAGAAATTAGCGCAACTCAAAGAATTTTCCACCTTTGTAGAGTTATTCGGTATCGAATCGACGCAGAGATTATTCAGAAGGCATATTAAGAAGTTGAAAGACGAACAGATAGCGAAAAAAATACAGGGCTACTTAGATATGTTACCGGATATACTTCATGAAATTTGTCCAGATATATCGAATTTAATTAATGAGTAAGTTGATAATGCGAATAATAGTTTTTCTTTTCGTACAAAACCTTTTGCGAATTGATTATTGAGATGCCGTTTTGCAGAGAATGGTCGGCGGTGCAACAATACATAAAGACGCATCCTGATTTTGATCAATATTTCTACGAATGTCCCGAGGATATACCGTGGATCGATTGTGATTTTGGAGAAAACAACGGCACGAAAATTCCATACGATGTGCTGGAGACTCCCGAAGCGGAAACCGTATTTAAAAATCATATAAATGCTCTACAGCAAGAGCAACGGCGATTAGAGTAAGTTATTTTCACAGAACTGAATCCAGCCGCTTTAACAAATAAATATTGTAGAGACAAGTCCACATATGTTCTTCATAGAACTGATGAGTAACTAATTAATAATTAATTTATCATTTCATTTAATGGTCTAAAAATATTCTAATAATATTCGTATGCAATTTACTAATGCTTTGCTTTATTCTGGGTGGCGTTTCTTTGTGCAGACTTCCGAAAAGGTAATTTCTGCTTTTTTTACTTGCTTTTTTTCTTGGCGATATACTATATATATTTGAGTCAGAAATATTCTGTGATATTTACTGTACTAATATTGGTATAACGATTGTATAACAGGGCTTATATATTATGTAGAATGGTAGATTTTCAAAGTATTTGTGATCGGAAATCAATATTTGTCTCAGCATTTAATAAGCCAATTTACTTATAATGCATGAATTACAAAGATAATTCAAAAAAATTAAAGTCAAACAAAATATCTTTATTAAATTAATATATATATATATATTGTATATATTGCAGTGAATTATTAATTTCTATCGTATAAATATAACAGGCTTTTGTAATAATAAAATAAAAATAATAGTTAGGCACACTTAGACATGTTATTGTCATTTAACATTATGTTCTTGACATGTTCAATTATTATTTTAAAAAGTTCTTTTTTGTCAATTATAATCAATTTCCATTAGGTGGAAGAAACAATTTAAACAATTGTTGGAGGAAACTGGTTATGTTACGCCTGGAAAACACTTGTCTGAAGTTAGAGTTTTATTTATGGGTAGAGAATGCTTTGAGGAGCTTTCTCATCATGATTGTCAAGAAATTTATGATCAGCATCAAAAAGAAATTATTGAAAAAGCAAAGCACAATTTTCAAGTAAGATGTTTGGAATAAATACATTATTGTATTATATGTTACATACAGAATACATGCAATATCAGTACTATAATACGTTACAGGAATTATTGTTGGAACATGCTGATCTATTTTATCATTTCAAGAGTATAGCTCCATCGGGAACTATTACACAAGATGATATAAAAGAAATTACAGACGCATTATTGGATGATTTTAGGTATGTCATGTACTGGATATATTATATATTTTTAAATAAATTTTTCATTTCCGAATTTTAAATATAAAAAAATATTTTTGCATAAATCAACTTTAATTTTTATGCTTCTAGATACAAAGCATTAGATAGATTAGATCAAGATAGAAAGTTAATGTTGTTTCAACATTTGGGATTTGTACATTGTCCTATAAGGGAGCATTGTCCTGCATATCCCAATTGCATGGACGCACTTATAGAAAGAATACTCGGAACAAAAGCACACAGGTGAAGAAGTTAATATTTCGTCATGCATGATTATATAGTATGGAATTATTTCATAACACAACTCTGAAAACGTTCTAACAGACCTTCCTCATGGAATCACAGTAGTCAGTGGCAGTTAACGTCGGACAACAATCAATTAAATTTAGTTATACTTGGAAGTAACGGGCTAAGCGAAGAGTTTGCTCGCGAAATAAGGGCACAAACAGATGATGACGAAGTGGAAATAGATTGTCAACTCTACACTCTCGGATATCGCATCATAGACGGCGATGTCGGACTACCGCATAATTCCTTCACTACCTCCGATTTCATGCCGCATGGTAAATATCCTCCTGATTGCATCTCTGTATGTTGCAAAAATATTATCTACATACAATGGATGTGCCTTTCTCGTTCTAGGATCCTTTTGTATCTATTCGAATGAAGATTCATTCGAATATATTCGATCTTCTTTAGAGAAAACCTTGTTATCAAATCTAGAGCAAGAGGATAGACTACCATTTCAAGGATTGCCCATTGTAATAATGTTTATACCAGAAGCTAGTATTGATGAAATGGAGGCCATGAAGCTCAGAGAAGAGGGACAAAATCTCGCCGACAGGTATATTAATCCTTAGTACACATAATAATTTTCTCGTCTTTTACTACATATAATGAGTCGTTCGTGTCTAGATTAACTTTTATCTCTTTTATAAGTATACAAAAATGATTTAGTAATTCTTACATATACTTTAATGTATATTAAAAAAAGAAAAAGATAGAGACTATTATTTTATTAACTAGGTGCTTTTAATATTTTAAAGAGAAAAGAAATGTGCAGGACACATAACTCAATACTCAGTTAATTGTATTAATCACAAATTAAAATTTGTCGAGCGTGTAATAATCTTATCAATTTCGTAGTTTGCAGTGTCCGTTTATCGATGTCTGCATAGACGATCTGGAGCAAGAGAAGCACAAAAGGTTTCCGACTTCATTGGTAAAGGACGCTTTGCAACAACTTATACAATCCATAAATCACAGAGCTGGTTTTTTAAATATATATCAAAGCGTTATTGAATGTTTGGAGCCTGATATTAGGTAGATTATTAATCGTAATGTTTCCGTTTAATTAATTAATTTATATAGGTAGATATATATTATCTAACGTTTGATTTCAGAATAATAATGTGTATGTTCTGCGGCGATCCTTATTCAGTTGAGAACGTTCTTGGCCCTTTACTCAATCATCAATGCTGCTTTCTCAGTGGAGATAGATCTATAGTTTTGGAAACATTTTTGGGAGAATGTAAACGTAGAGTTGAAGTCATTATCTCGAGTTTTCACGGAGCCAATGCATTTAGAGATGAATTAGTACATGGTTTTATACTCGTCTATTCCACAAAGAGGAAAGCCTCTCTCGCGACTCTAAAGTATGTACTCGTAACATGCCGTTTACACATCCAAAAAAATTAATATTTTATTTTGCAGATATTTTTTTTATTATATATATTTTTTTGTCTTGTAGTGCTTTTTCCACCAATATACCAAATTTGCCAATACAAATAATGGCTGTGACTGATACTGGCGGTGCGAATGCTTTCTTCAGTAATGATTTAAGTCACCTACTTATCACAGAGGGAAACGCAATTGCGGATAAATTGGAGGCGCATTTCATGACATCCGCATCTAGTTGTCAACAAAAAAGTGAGAAACTCCAGTTTTTATTTCGGTATTTAGCAAACTCATTTCCTAACGCATCATTTTGTAATGTACAGCTGCGTTTTACACGCCCTTCTTCAAAGTGGTATGGGAGAAGAAACCGGAGATCGAGCAGGCGTTTAACATGGAGGAGCCAGGGAATTTGAATGATAGCGGAGAAGGCACCCTAGAATATTCGGCTTTACATCCAATGCCGCCACCGCGACATGAGAGCTATCACCTTCAAACACCGGATGACGGGTAACTATTCTAGAAGCGGTTTGCTGTAGCAAACCGAGCGTATAGATCTATTAACATCCAAATATATTTGTGACCCAAAGTCTAATGTCAAGCAGTATGTCTGTAACTTTCAGAAGCGGCTCCGAGTCGTACGAACAATTGACGCCCGATGGTGACCTAGGTGACACCGGTTTGACTGAACAATTCGCCGATCACAGAGCCACTCCAAGCGACGACAGTGACATTTACAGCCAGGTTGATTTCTATCGGGAAGAGAGGGAGAGAGATTTAATGAAAAATGAAGATATCACGAATAAACTGTCTGGTCAGTAATAGATGAAAGCAACTTATATCATGCAATGTCACAATGCGATTCTTCAATATTTGTCGAGGTATAATTTTTTTTTTCTTTGTATAGGTTGGGTAAAGGACACGTTCATGCGCCAAGACGGAGTTACTAACAGTTACTCGCACAGAGCTTTCACGACAGGTCGACGATATATCTCCCAGGCTAAGCCACGGCCGAAAGGCAACAGTCAGACCTTGAAACAACCCGGAAAAATTAATCTGAAAGACTTTTCCAATGTAACGGACGTTATAGCCAGAATGACGATCGGCGAGAAAGATGAGCACGGTCCAAAAATGACAATGGGTCACGCTCCTCTCGCCACTCCGGAACTGGTAGATCTCGGTTCTGAATACGCGCAGGTGAAAGACGTTGTTCCGAACATGTATTCCGCCTACGATGGTGATTATATGTACGCCTTGGTGCAAGATTCTATCGGCAACAATAAATCCAAGTTGCGTCACCGACGCGAAAAGGGACAACCATGTAAGATCTTGCCTTCTTATGTTAGAAATCTTTTAAACGCTAAATTTATGTACAATTATTCATAATTATTATGAATAATTGTACATAACACAAACACAATTATGAATAATTGTACATAACACATATACAAACACACAGCGTACAGCGATTCTGACTCGGAGTGGAGTTCCTTGGAGAGACAAAGAGCGACAGACATCTTGGGCAAGGGGAATAAAAAGCCATCGTCGCACAAACGAATACGCAAGAAACGCACTGCGATACCAGTCGCGACGCCAAAAGTGCCATCATTAGCCAGCATGGGTAGCGGGGATGGTATAGTCGGCCTCAACTATAACATGAAAGACGAGAAGAATTGGCGTGTTGATCCCGCAGAGAGAGGTAAAATTTTCTCCTCTTTCATATTTTTTTAAGTATATACAATTATAAATTCCTACATCTTGGGAATAGTGATATTTAGCGAAATATCTCTGTCTTTTCAGTATCTAGCGAAACACCCGATACTTCCGAATCGAGCGATCCGGAACATACTTCACGGTCCAGATCGAAACAATATAAATACGCAGCAGCTAGTCTGCGAAAAAGATTTTCCGGAAATTCTCTGCAACAGCAATACTTACAACATCCGTTTAATATGAAACATATGACGCAGGAGATGTTCAGCGCCTCTTGTAAGTAACGTGGTGAATTTTTATTTGATATTTATTGTTACAAGAGAGACTTATAAGATATTTTGTCGTGACTGATATAATTTATAATAATTATACAATTTGTAATAAAATATGATTAATGCAGAAAATTTTTTAATATAATTCGAATGAATTATTTAATACAACCTAAAGTTTCTAATTTAACGACAATCTGTACGTGCATGTAAAAAGCATATTACATTTTCGCTTAAATCGAGGCTTCTTAATTAAGTTTTGATTCTTTTTTTTTAATGTAACATGTTAATGTTTTCTATTAAGTTGCAGTGTCTTTACTTTCATTAACTTGCATGAAACTTATTATTTTAGCCAAGCACAGAGGTGAAAATACATTTCCAGATGATGAATCAAGTCTAGACGTTTCCTCGCCGCGTGAAATTAATTCTCCCAGTGTAAGTTTTTGTAGCATATATAATATAAATCGATATTGCAGAATGCGCATGTAATTAACTTGCATTGCTTGCTTTTTAGTTCGGTATATTGAATAAGTCGAAGGACAGCGATAAGTTAACTAGAAAGAAAGATAAACAAAAGGCAAAGGAGGACGAAAAGTTAGAGAAAAGAAGGCAAAAAGAGGAAAAACTTAAAAAGCATGCAGAGAAGGAGAAAGAGAGAGAAAAGAAGAAACAGGAGAAGATAAAACAGACCAAAGGTCCGGGGGGAACACCGATCTCGAGTCAATCACAGCAACCCTTGATTGAAGATTTTGCGCAGAGCGAAACGAATCGGATACCTTTGTTCCTCGAGAAGTGCGTTCGATTTATCGAAGACGAGGGTTTGGATTCGGAAGGGATATATAGGGTGCCCGGTAATCGTGCACACGTGGAATTACTTTTCCAAAAGTTCGAAGAAGGTATATTATTTGTTAAAAAGTTTATCTTAATTATATTTTCTATATTTTATTCTTTCCCTTTTTTAAATCAAATTTATGCTCCATTTTGTACGATAAATAACATGAATCTATCTTTTTTTTCTAACTCGTAGATGGTAATGTCGACATACATTCTTTGGATATTCCTGTAAATGCTGTCGCTACAGCCCTGAAAGACTTCTTTTCCAAGAGATTACCACCGCTTATTGATAAAGAACGCATGAGCGAATTGGAAGATATATCGGGTAAGTTTAATTTTGATTATAAAAATTTAAGCAATTTTTTTATAAAAATGATTTTAATTATTTTTAAAAGTTCTTAGATGTTTATTATATCATTAAACTTTCATTATAATTACTTTAACAAAAATCAAAGTATTTTTAAGCACATGTTATGCTAATATATCAGGTGCACGAGGTATTAGCAAACCTATGTCAGCGACTTGCATGAACATGGAAGGTTAGTACTTTTATTTCATAGATAATAGTCTTGTGACTCAAATTCAAATTAAATCCCAAAACTTGGAATGATTGCAGACCGAAGCGGGAGACTGTTAGCCTTGCGTATGATGCTCAACAAGTTAAATCCAGTAAACTTTGACGTTCTTAAATTTATCTTCCAGCACTTCGTGAAGTAAGTGAATATTATAAAGATATAATTGAAAAGCTAAATCTTTCATAGACATATTCTAATCGTACCTTTCGTACGTTTCTTTATCTTTATAATTTACATTTATATTATAACTTAAATTTATACGTCTTCAGAGTTGCGGAGAATTGTAAACTTAATAGTATGGACAGCAAGAACTTAGCGATTTGCTGGTGGCCTACGTTACTACCGATCGAGTTCAACGACCTCGGCAGATTTGAAGCTATGAGGCCGTACCTGGAAGACGTAGTCCAGACGATGATCGATCAGTATCCCTTCCTGTTCTGTGGTGAGGATGCTGTTGTGATGGTGTAGTGACGAAACGCGTTATTTAACTGTGCAGTGCAGAGTTCTCAACGTCCGTGCGAGACTGCAGTATTTCTTGTGGACAACGGTGGTAGAAGTAGCGCGTCCAGCCGAGACCTCGCAATAACGCGCCTGCTTCGTAAAATAACCCGAGATTTCTTTTATACGTTGTCGACAGTTGCGATACAGGCGTAAACGATTGGTCTCAAAATATAGTTTGTTAGTTATTAATATTAAACTTCGCTTTAGTACTCGTAATACAACTAATACAAGTCCCACGTAGATGCAACGTGGACGAACAAAGTCTATTTAAGTTTAGTCATTCGCATTCGTTCATTTCCGGAATGTGCGACAAGCAAGATTTTTCCTTGTGGAATCGATCGATTGATGGTCCTAAAATGATGGTTATTCGCGTGCGCGGATCAGATAATACAAAAATATTAAGAGTCAATCCATGTGTCATAACAGTATGCATGTATCATGTTGGATGTATCCAGAGCGATGTATTTATTGATATTGTATTAGGGATGTACGACTCGATATTTGATAATAGCGATTAGCTCTTTATAAGTAGTTATTAAGAAAGTAAGATCGATGTTGCTTTTTTTATTCGCTTTTTTTGCTCCGTCTTTCCGTTCTCTTTCTTCGTGTCTTCTTGTCCACATTGCCAAGAATGAAAGTGCTGAGCGCAAAGTAACGACATTAATGTAGTCTCGTTAAAGAGACTGTTATTAGTATTTAAAGGAGGGTGTGTCCAGCCCATATTTACAAAAGGTACGAAGCGTATATAAAACGAGATTTATCGTCAAATATTACATATTACATAGCAACGATATCAAAAATGCCAGAATTTTTAGCGTATTTCCTTTTGCCAATGCACAAATCGCTTCTCGAGTGTATTTACTTTTGCATTTCTATCGATTATCTCGTGCAAGAATTTTTAAACAGTTTTTATCCGCGTATCTGGGCTGAGCGAACTCAAACGACGATACAATCCGTATATTCATTCCGTCTAAAAAAAATGGTAAAGTAAAAACGAAAAAAAGAAACACGAAAAGCGTTACATGTAATTGCACAATGTCTTGACAAATAGCGTTAACATGCGTATGCGAAAGCAGGATAAAAAAAGGAGAAGTATTTCGTACACGCAACTCACACAGACACACATAAAAGTGGAATCGAAATAACTTAAGAAATATTTAGAGCTACGAACAATATTAAAGTTTCTTAAAACGGATATGTACATAGAATTTTAACGATTTAAGATATATACGAAGTTTGTAAGACAAGACATTAAATTCATAGACTTTTTTTCAAGAGTAAAAGAAGTCCGTTTTATGCAAGGAGCAGACGTTACTTCGTTCGTATCTTTGCAAAAAAAGAAACGCAGAAAGTATTTATTAGCACGCTACTATCGCGCATAAGGGATTCAGGACCGACGATTCAGTTAAATGAAAGAGAACTATCGTCTATCTTTTTATATTTAATCGGCCGCGCACACGTTAATTTATTTTTTTCGCTGTTCGCTTTGAATTCACATGAATCCGCGGATCCAGCGGGTCATTTTCATAGGTGTGCCATAACTTAAACTCGATGTTAACGATCGTAATGACAGATGTATGCCTTTTGGCGGCTCAACATTCGAAAGTAAGCGTGTCGTTTAATAGCCGACCGCGAGCGTTCGCGATCGCAGTGTATTGCCGAGAGATACTTAAATGTCGCCTCTGAATGTTGGAGCCATTATGAATAAAAGAAAAAAAAGGAACAGTACACACGCGCGCACACATAACACACATACACATACACTTTTGTAACCCGAAGATTAATCTCAAACATTCCTGTAAGGAACGTCGATGTTACTTTATAGTCTCGCGAGAGACGCGTTTCAATCGAACCGAGTTCGTAAAATTCATGAGAGAAATCTCGAGAGTCTCGCAAGAGAAAGAGATAAGAAAAGAAAAATCTTTTTATCGATCCTCGTGGGAAACGTGCGTCTCGCGAACTCAGCCGCTCTGTATTTGTAAGGAAATCGTTGTAACGATATTTCTATAATCGACGCGTCGCGAGGATGTGCGCGACGAGAGGAAAAAAGAAGGAACGGATCGTACATTCCCCATTTAGTCGTAAAGAAAGAAAAACAGATTTTATACATTCGTACGTACGTAATTGTATAAACGACGCGACCTATTCACGTCGACGACGATGATGAGTAAAGTGGCGCATGTCGGAATAGTTAGGAACGCTCGCTTGGGAGATTTCAGAGTTATCTTTGTCTATTCTACATGTTGTCTATTTCACGTGTGTCGAATAGATAATTGAGTTAGAGCACTTAAGAAATTTTTCTCCCTGAATTAGATTAATTTGCACCAACTATTTTGTTGTTTAAACCGTTTAAAGAATTAGACCAATATGCAACTGCTTGAAAAAAAATGAAGTCTTTCTATAATTTTTTTTAGAAAACTGATCATTTAAAGAAAAAGGATAGAAGACTGAACAAAATCGAACAAATCACTGAACAAATAACTAATTTTTTTACATTTATGCAGAAAACTTTGGGGGGGGGGACAAATTATAGAAATATTTTCTTATAGTACATTTTTATATTTTTATTTTAGTACAAGTAATGAATAATTTTTAATTATTTAGTACAATAAAATTAATAAAATTATATTTAAAATATTCTTTTTTATACACACACATCAAATACGATAAAGAACTCCATGATTGGTCAAAGTTAGATGTTTCGAATAATACATTATATATTCTTTTCATTAAATCAATTTATTCCAGATATGATTCTTTTTTATATTCTTCCAGCTTACCTAAATACTTCCGTGTGCTCATGCGCTTCAATATGCTTGTATAAAAATAATTCATTAATTTTTTGAATTTTGATGAGTTTTGAAACAAAGTTATCTTCAAAGTATCTGATATTTTTTTAATGAAAAAAATCGATCTTTTTTTCTTCTACACTGATCTAATTACTTTTTCTTCAAACTAATTACATTTCCGATCTACTAAATAGGGTCGTGATATCATGGAAATAAGTTTGAGAGATTTTATAGGATGCCTTGGTCTAATCCTTTAACAATTGCATATATCTATCTTAGCGTCAATAGATTGTCTCCGCTTTTCCGCGTTGTTAGAACTTCCTTTATATCGAAGTAACAATCTACGAGAGAAAAATACTGTAATTTTAATATTGTAATTTTCTAACTGGATTTTTTGTCAATTCATTGGTGCAACAAATCTACTATGCGTGTTTCGTATAATATTTCTCAAAAGTTTGCGATCATTTCTTGTACAATTATCGTTTATATATTCAGAAATTTAGCACAAATTATACGATTATATTGCGACGATTGAAGAGTGCGACAGTGGCTTAACTCATCTTTAAAAAAATCTCATGATTGAGGGAAGAGGAGAATTAAAGAATTGTATGCCAAATGCTATTTTATGATGAGACATCAATCACAAAAAACTTTCAAGTTGAAAATTGATTTAAGATATATGAGGGGTTAAAGCTCATTAAAGTGTTAGTTTTATACGCTTTGAAGTACGAATTTTTATGTCGATATAATAATTTAATTTAGATGCTTTTATCAATTCAAACAAACGTTCAATTCTATTTTGAAAACGAATATAATATTCTCCTTTAGACACTCTCAGTCATTATTGAGTAATTTTAGGAAATAAATAAATTTTAATAAATAAAAATTGTGAATAAGCTGAGGGTCACTGTTGCATCAAATCTTCCAACTGTGGTCTCACCTCGTCGCATTCTCGCATCCACGATGTAACGGTTAAGCAATAGCAAAGAAACGAATGTAGCGATTAAATATTCGAAGAAATATATATACTCGACGACGGGTACATGTAGTGATTGCGAGATTACCACGTTTCACGTCCTTCGCACAGCGTCATTCATCATCAACATCAACAACAATACCAACGTGAACGTCATTAACGTCGTCATCAACGTCATCGTCATCAACACCAACATCATCATCATCATTGTCGTCGTCGTTACCATCATCCCTGGATACGTATCCATCGAGCGTCTTCTCTCTTGCGAAGCCTAAGGAGGAAGAGAAAAATCACTTTTCTACGATACGTCCGTTAAGATTTTCGCTTGTCCTTTCTCGCTGTCCGAGGACGGCCCGACGGCGGCCGGTCTCCCCCGTCGAATATAACAGATCCTTAAATTATCGTAGCCTGTGATAAAGACGTAGGCGAAAATGGACCCCTTGCTTTTTCCCATTTTATTTATGGCATCGACTTGATGTACGAATGTATTATAGTTGTACAGTTGCATCGGGATGATGCGTGTCGTAAACCTCCCTGCTTTCCTTGCGTTTTTGCGCTTCTCTCCTTTCTTCTTTTTTATTGTTTCTTATTCGCGTTTCTCTTCCTTTATCGCTCGTCACCATTTTTTGTGAGCTTCACCCGTCCTCGAACGTCTTGTTTATTGTCCGTAGCCTTGATTAAATACTATGCGAGCACCCCTGAATCTACGGGCGGTGAATCGTGAAGAAATGTAGGAAACGCGCGAGAAACGGCTCTCAGTTACGCCGACATCGTTAATTTATTGCATAATAGCGATCGTACTTTTGTTTGATTGATAAAATAAAACGTGGGATCTCAATTTTCCTCGTTCACGAATCGAGAAATATTTGTGTGCCGATTTCTTTCAGCATGCTAGTTTAATCTTTTGCGATATTTTATATTTCGACCTGCATAATCAAACGCAAACGTATTTATAGCATTATATTTTTGTATTTCTTTTATGAAATAATATATTATTTGCTTTATTCTATCGAGTTTTATGGAGAATTCTTTTTTCCGGTCTCGTCTCTCTTCCGCGAGACCTACGTTTCTTCATGGGAATGTGAGCCGAACCGATGGTGTGTGAGTGCTTGAAGTATGTGAACTGAGAATTAATACTTGAGATTTGATAAAGATAGCGATAGCCTGTTAACCGCGAACTAATAATGAGAGAAACTCAATGAGAGAAAAAGTTGATAAGTAAAAATAAGTCAATCCCTTTTCTAATCAGTAGGAGAACGATCGAGATCGGATCTACGGTTTTATAAGAATCTTTGATAAATATTGGATTGCGGATAGCTGATAATTAAATAATAATAATAATAATATTTAATAGCCGTTTGTATCGAAGGTGGCTAACGAATATTGACCAAGATAGGACTGCTAATTTCTACCTTCGCTGAAATCTTTTCAAACGCCTTCAGTTTCGCGCACTGAAGATCCTGGCACTTCGGATCTGTTCTCTTTATCTGCGTCTTCTTTTCCCTCCCTTCCCTATCCCCTTCCCTCCTTTTCTCTTTGATATTAACGATATGTATTTATTTTGTTTCTCGCATGTGCAGCTGAAAAGAACAGATCTCCAGCTTCTCGTGATTTGACCTAAATAAAATGCGCGACAAATACACGTGCGAAGCGATGGAGAAGAAGTGCCATCGCAGTGCTGCTCGCAAAGTATCGATGCCGAAACTCGCGTCCGAATCGTCTCGCCGACGACGCAGAAAAATTTAGCCGATTCCTCGATTTCGGAAGACTTGTCACAAACGTGATAGCCCTC